GACAGGTTCATTAAAGAACGGGATGTCCCATCACGTTCAGATTGTTTCTATGGATCCCTGTTTAATCCAGGAATAAAAGAATCTAGTTTCAATATTTTGTGTAGCTCTAGAGTGCCTTAGAGCGGTGTCTGGAAAGTGCCAGTCAAGTAGCAAGTTGCTGTTCTGAGATTTTTGAAGTAAAAGTTTCATAAATCTGGAAAATAAAATAAATTGATTGTAAGTGTGTGATCTAGAAAACTGGCTGTATTTTTGTAAGGCATCATAGCCTGGTGGAGATAAATTGATAGTTTAATTTGAAGAGGAAATATACTTCAGGAAAGCCCTGAATTGATACTTAATGAAATAAAAGTTTGATCAATGAGTAGAGTTTTGTGATGAGGAAGACCCTAACTGTAAGATCTAAGGGAAGTGGGATGTAATTTCACACAAAACAATTTGTTTCACTAGCTGGGGCTTTTTAGCTGGTTAATATTTATGATCCTATTTCCACAGGGAACATGTCCTCTCGCAAGGGACTCAACGGTGCCTGCTCTGTGCACGAGTACACCGGGTCCTTCATAGGACAGAGTGCCCACTTCAAGATGACATCGGTGTGTGGTCACGTCATGACTTTGGATTTCATAGGTATTTGCCTGCTCATCAGATATTTTAACTAATATGGCTTGTAGAGCTGCCAGGTCCTTCAGAAAAAGCTAAGAGGTTCCTTGGTGTACAGTAACGCAAGATGTGTTAGTGTAGAAAATTTTCCATAGAAATTTTGGAAGCCAAGTGTTTTGCAAAATAAAGCTGTTTGTTTTATAAATATTTCTTCAGAGCTCCATTAAATATACTTTTGCTTTTCAGGAAAATATAACAGCTGGGACAAAGTGGATCCAGCAGAACTTTTCAGCAAAGCTCCCACAGAAAAGAAAGAGGCTAATCCCAAATTGACCATGGTGAAGTTTTTACAGGTACTCTTTCTTATGAGTAGTATTTAGAGTTATCATTTTCTATGTTCTTAAATAAGAATTCCTCCAGGGAGTGGCTCTTTGTCACAGTTAGATCTATTTTATTAACATAGTAGAAATAATTTTATTTTTCTTGTTCTTACACTGTCTGAAATCTTTGTTAAATTAACTTTTCCCTTGCCTTCTGAGTTTTTTGACAGTTGATATCCTGCTTGAAGAATTGGAGCATTGGATGCAAGTTTAGCTTTAACAGCCAGTGCAGGGCACAGCTTATAAATGCTTTCTTTAAAATAAAGAGGCCTTCTTTAAAATAAAGGCATAACCAAATGTGTTGGTTACTGCTCACACTTCACACACCTGCTGAAACCAGAAAAAGAAATGTATAGGTAGGGAGGAGGGAGGTGTTTTTTTGAGATGCTGAAGAGCTGTGCTAATTTTTCTCACAGGTGGAGGCAAGAGGCTGTGACTGTATTGTCTTGTGGTTGGATTGTGATAAGGAAGGAGAAAACATCTGTTTTGAAGTAAGGTTTCCATTTTTAAGACTTGCAACACTGTAATATATGTCTGACAGGACTACTAATGCATTGTTTTATGAGTATACAGTAAAATTCAAACTAAAGTTGAGTAAAGTTTTAAAGCCAAAGAGGGCTTTGGTGGAAAAATTCACATGCTTTGAACTCTGTAAGATGTCAGTTAAAGAGTATAAATGAATTTCAGGGGTGTTGCTCATCTCAGAAGAACAATCAGGCCTCTTAAATGTTGGAACATTCCAGTGCTTCAAGAACTGGTCTGTATTCCACAGCTGGAGTAGTTATTTTTATGTCCTTGTAAAACTTCATCTCTGTTATCTTTTGTTTATTAAGCAACTAGATGCCTTAGAGCACAGAAGCTGCTTGCAAGTGTAGGCATACTGCAGAAATTTGGCCTCTGCACATAAAGCATACAACAAAAACTTTGCTAGGATTTTTTAAAAATATCCTATTCCCAGAAGTCTACATGAAGAGTATTTGTTTGGAAATTTTCTTTAGATTAAAGAAACACATTTTATGAAGTGATTGTTGTAAGTTCTTTACATACCCCTGTGTCATTACTTGTGCCTTAGCAATGAGTAGAATAAACCCAGATAGACACTGGTGCATGTTCACCAAAAGGCGCTGCAGCTGCATTGGTGAGTGTCATTGCCCTTAGCCAAAAATACTGATTTGCTCCCAGCAGTTGCTGTATAGTAAATGAACCCTTCAGTTTTGTTAATTCTTCATATGCTTTTGAGTGGATGGACAAATACTGCTCTGGAATATCAGTTAATGTACTGGCATGATATCTTGCAGTGACACAGAAACAAATGTTTTGTGGAGAATGTTTTTTTATCTTTAGAGAGAAAGCCTTTATCCTTCACATCCTCTTTGAGTATGCTTGTGATTTTCCTTAGGTTCTTGATGCTGTTCTGCCTGTCATGAACAAGCCCCGTGGCACGGAGAGGACGATTTACAGAGCTAAGTTCAGCTCCATCACCGACACCGACATCTGCAACGCCATGAATCACCTGGGAGAGCCCAACCGCAACGAGGCCCTGTCCGTGGATGCCCGCCAGGAGCTGGATCTGAGGATTGGCTGTGCCTTCACAAGGTGACAGCACAGCCTGCAGACAAAGCCCACAGGTTTTGGAAAGGTTCAGGAGTGGCTCTGTGCCCTCGGGGTTTGACCCCAGCCCAGCACCACCCAACCACTGACTGGGGTGGGGGAGTTCTGGGTGGGTACGAGTGGGAAAAGTCATGGCTTGAGAGAAAGACAGTTTAATAGGTAAATAAAAGCTGCACAAGCAAAGCAAAATGAGGAATTAATTCACCACTTCTCAGGGACAGGAAGATGTGCAGCCACCCCCAGGAAAGCTGGGCTCCATCACCCATTATGTTTACTTGGGAAAACAAATACCATCACCTCAAGTGTTCAACCCCTTCCTCCTTATTCCCCCAACTTTATATGCTGACCATGATGTCACACGATCTGGAATATTCCTTTGGTTATTCAGCTGGGATCAGCTGGTCCTGGCTGTGTCCCCTTCCAGCTCCTTGTGAGGCAAAATGATTATATATAATTAGCTGTAATTTCTCAGAATGCTCTTTTCCTAATGCCTGGATGATTTTATAGATTACTCATATTTTGTGCATGTATGATGACAAAAACTTCTGCTTTTCATGGGAATGAGGATATTAATGTGTACATTTCTCATTTGGTTTTTTCCCCTTTTTCTTAGGTTCCAGACTAAATATTTTCAGGGAAAATATGGGAATTTAGACAGCTCCCTCATCTCCTTTGGGCCATGTCAAACCCCAACACTTGGATTCTGTGTTGAGAGGCATGACAAAATCCAGTCATTTAAGCCTGAGACTTACTGGGTGTTGCAAGCTAAAGTAAGTTTTACAGTACTTGGTTTTACAAAAGAAATGCATTTGTATTTTGTTCATTCATAATTTCTTAGCTGCTGACAAGAATTCACAATGCCTATAGTTTACTCATGTGTTCTCATTCTGTTCACATGTGTGTCACCACTCTCAAGAACAGATTCCAGGATGTCAGTTTTGCATTAGAGTGCTTATTGTCTGCTGCTTATAAGAATTCTTCTGTGCTAATCATCTAAGCTTAGATTCTGCCAAAAAAACTGCTTAAAACGGTGCACTTTTGTTCCCTGGGGTCCTTGGACTGACTGTTGTTAATTTGAATCCAGGAATTAATTAGCCTGCCAACAAACATTGGCATTGCTGAGTATTGGAATTTTAAAGCAAATAAAATGCTCATTGTGTTAATTGGCAATTGAGTCCTCAGAGTGCTTTGGCAGCTTGGAGTGGTTTTACAGCCTCACTGCTGTCCAAGCTCTGGGAGCAAACCAACAGGGTTTTATGGCTTGTGATCACAAGGATTTTTTAAGCAAATGAGGGATTAATGGTAAAAAATTGCCATTTTTGTATTTTAAAAGTAAAAAAAAAAGGTGAAATCTGGCATCTGCTGTCATCTGTTGTGATGTGTCGTGTGTGTCACGCTGGGAGACACTTGGTGCTGTTTGCAGAGGGGTTTGTGCTCTCTCATGTTGGTCACTTCAGACTAATTTTTGTACATGGGGCTGAAAACATAACCTAGTTACAGTTTAATACAAAAGATTGAGTCTGCTAAATCAGAGTGGCAAACTTTGAATTTCTGCCTATTTCAGTCTTTACTGTTCCCAACACTAAACAAGAGCAGTATTTCAGTTCAGTCAGGAATAGTTCTGGTCATTCCCCAAACCCCAGAACTCCAAGTGCTCCACCCTTCAGAAAAGCCCCCCCAAAAAAGAGTAAAACTGCATGTTTGGGCACTGGTGTCCTGGGGTGGGTTTGTCCTAAATTTGCCCTAACAAATCCCATGTGTCCTAGGATTTGCTTGCTGGACTCTTTTTGGGAATATGCATTCTCACACTTGTAGGAGTAAAGTTGGTGGGAATTAATTAATTTTTTTTTTTGCCAATAGGTGAACCCTGAAAAAGACAGTTCTCTCACTTTGGATTGGGATAGAGTGAGGGTGTTTGATCGTGAGGTTGCTCAAATGTTCCTGAACATAACAAAGATGGCAAAAGAAGCAAAGGTAAGTATATTATCCAAGTGCCAGTAGATCCATATTTCATTTAAAGGAAATACAATTTAATATTTCATATGCTGTGTGTTGAGACTTTTGGTCGTTTTTTAAGGAGTGTAGAATATCTGTATTTTGATTTTTATTTCGTTCAGCTTTATGTAAATGAGAGTAAAAGGCAAGAGATTTTTTTGTTGTTGTAGATTGTACTGTGCTGGTGTGATCATCTCAGCAGAAGCCTCTTCTTAGTATTGACTTTGGGAATGCTCATCACTCATGATAGGAACTCTTCATTACTAAACCTGCTAGGAAATGCTGTTCAGATGTCTCCAAGCAGACCTCTTATTTCCCATGAGACATTGAATAAATTGGAATTTAATTATGTGTAGGGCAATATTCCTGCAGTTAAATATTTAATTATATGTATGGTGCAGTCTTTATAGCCAATTAACTTATACTTTGCTCTGTTCAATACTTGTTTGACAGTTTGTTTGGATTTAAGTGCTTATAGACATCAAGGTCAAAGAGTGCTTGAAGCTTTTAAAAATCTGCATTCTTATAGTTAGGACTGTTGCTTGGAATGAGCTCTAAATCCTTGTAGCACTGAAAGCAGGAGCTGCTGAGGTAAGTGGGAAGTAAGGACAGCAATAAGCTGCCTTGCTGTGTTCTCAGTTAGTTACAGATCTGATTTAGTCCTGGCACAAAGGGACTTTCAGACTTTAATTTTAGAACTTGATAAAATTATCTCCAGTCAGATTTTCTGAAGTAAAAATATACTGGTGGTTACTGTTTTAAGAGAACAAAGCAGACATTATAAGAATAGACAGTGGTAGGTTATGATACATATTTATAGACATGATTAAAATTATGCATTTACCAAATGTCAGAAGTTTTACTGTGAAAATGCTCTTTTCTAGGTAGAATCTGTGAGTAAAAAAGAGAAGGTGAAGCAGAGACCACTGGCTCTGAATACAGTAGAAATGCTCCGAGTGGCCAGTGCTGCTTTAGGTAGGTACAAAAGTTCAGATTTTCACACTGTTTTAAAGCAAGCATTTTGGCTTCTCAAACAAAACAAATAATACATCATTTTGGGGAAAGAACCAAGTTTAGAAAGCTGCTTGTCAAAAGTGAAATATTTGGCAAGATCAAGATCAATCATATGGAAAGGACAAATCATAATGTATTTAAATACTTGGGTAAGGTGTACATCCAGGTGCAGCAAACCATAATCACAGGGACGTGTAAATGATTTTTGTTTTCTCCTGTCCCCTCTCAGGAATGGGCCCCCAACATGCCATGCAAATAGCAGAACGTCTGTACACCCAGGGCTACATCAGCTACCCTCGAACAGAAACCACCCATTATCCAGAAAATTTTGACCTGAAAGGATGTTTGAGACAACAGGCCAATAACCCTTACTGGGCAGAAACTGTGAGTACATGAAGCAAAAGCTGTACTATCATTCTCTAGTCTGTTTCAGACTAGATCTTGCTTGGTGTATTATGACCTGAAGACCTTCAGAAACTTTAAATATCTCTAGTTTCTTTTATTGATGTTGTATTGTTATGGATTTGATATGAGTAAGCCATTTCTTCCTTCACCCAGGTAAAAGTATTGCTATCAGAAGGCATCAATCGTCCAAGGAAAGGCCATGATGCAGGAGACCATCCTCCCATCACCCCCATGAGAGCTGCAACAGAAGCAGAATTAGGTACAGGCAAATTCAGCAGTATTGGGACACTGTGTGAGGAAATCAGTCCCTTGAGGTGTAAGGTGCCAGATTCAAAATCACTGAGATGCAACAAAAACTAAAATTATTTGAATGGCAAGAAGTGAGGAGAGAGCAAACTTGATCCTCACTGAAAGTTCTGGTGACAGTGAAGGTCAGAACTGCTTCAGCAGTTGATCCTTGGGACTACAGTACTGCCAAGAAAAAGAAAACAACTAACACCTATGTTTCTAGGAGAAATTTGTCCCAGAATAGTAGCTCCCAAGTCCTGAAGTTTGGTTGTATTTGGTGGCTGAGGTGTTGTTTCTCCCCAGGTGGAGACGGGTGGCGCCTGTACGAGTACATCACTCGGCACTTCATTGCCACTGTCAGTGCTGACTGCAAGTACCTGCAAACCACCATTTCCTTCAGTATTGGCCCTGAAAGATTTACCTGTGTTGGCAAGGTGGTAACTTCACCAGGTAAGACAAATCAGAAGAAAGTATTAGTTGCAGATTAATTTTTTTCCTCATTAATACACTGAATGGATATGAAAGTGAAGCTCTGGGGACAATTGCAATTGTGAAGACTTTTTTGAGCTCTCAAAACCAGAGACCAAATCTTGTCCTAATTTTCATATTTCAGTTATGATAGAAAAAGTGCTATTTTTCATGTAGTAGTCTCAAAGATTTAATGCCACATTTGCCAGTGTGAAGACCAGTCTTTTTACAAACAGTAAATGCCTTTTAGGGGATAAATTACACAAAGGCAGAAGTTTATTCTTGGGCCTCTGTAAAAACAATGCAGCAGCACTACTGAGACTTTTATGGTAAACTGGCAAGTTGTTTCTTTACTTACAGGATTCACAGAAATTATGCCATGGCACAGCATCCCATTAGAAGAGAGCCTTCCCCACTGTGAGAAAGGAGATCTTTTTCCAGTTGGTGAAATAAAGTTACTGGAAAAGCAAACCAGCCCTCCTGATTACCTGACAGAAGCAGAGCTGATCACTCTGATGGAAAAACATGGCATTGGTAGGAACTTGCATAACTTCCATTGTTCTGCAGTACATCCACCAAGAGTGCAGAGTCTGACTCACTCCTCTGCACTGTCTGTGTCAGTGATGAGCTCTCAGTGTTCATTTGGATATGTACAGTGATCATCTCTTTCCCTTTAAACCACCATGCCCATAGCTCCCCTCAGCAGATGGTAGATTGTTTCTTCCCCCACGTTCCTTCCCTTTCTTATCCTTATTTTGAGCAGTTTCTGGTTTCTGGCCAAACATTTCTGGCCAAAGCAGTATCCTTTCATAACACATCCCTGTCACTTCTCTGTCAGAAAGAGCTGATGTGTGGAAGGAAGCACCTCCTCATTCTTAGGAATGATTTCTTGTCTTCACACTTGCTTTAGCTTTGCTCTCTTCAGTAATCCTTCTGTATCTTATTATACAATTTACCACAATTCTACTTTCCTTTATCAGTCTGACTTGTTTCTTTTAATGTATTTTCATTAATTTGCCCCATCAGAACAAACAGTCTCTTACTCTACTGTGTTCTTCCAGAGTAAATAACTGTGAGAATATAAATAACTGTGAGAATAGGTAATTCCTTGTAATTCCTTGGAAGAGATGAAAGGATTAAGGTTAAACCATATGTTTCAGACTTACCAGAATTGCAAAGGAACATCAGAGTTACTAGAGAGGGAGAAGTTATGCACTGGAAGTTGGGTAACAGTAAGAAGGTATCTGAATTTAAGCAGTCTTAGGACCTCAGTAATTTGACATTAAACCAGAGAAGCCAGAAACAAGTCATTTGTTGAAAACTCTTTTTTGTTCAGGGTGGATATATTGTTTTCCTTTGTGTGGCAGGAACTGATGCCAGCATTCCAGTCCACATTAACAACATTTGCCAGCGAAACTATGTCACAGTGGAGAGTGGTCGGAGACTAAAGCCTACAAACCTTGGCATTGTTCTGGTTCATGGTTATTACAAAATAGGTCAGTTAAATGCTCTTCCCTTTCCATCCTCTTCCCTTCCCGTTACTATATCAAAGGCTGATGTCAATGTCTGAGTAATGTTTCTGTCTCAAATAATGCTTATTTTGATGTCAGTTTATGTATGAATGATTTCCTACCTCCATTTTGATCTTTCATTGCTGTTGTCTCTGGTTTCCTGTTAGATGCAGAACTGGTTCTTCCTACAATCCGCAGTGCTGTAGAAAAGCAACTCAACCTAATAGCTCTGGGTAAAGCAAATTATCATCAGGTCTTGGAGCACACCCTTGACATTTTCAAAAGGAAATTTCACTATTTTGTGGATTCTATTGCAGGTAAAGCTTTCTACATGTGAAGTTCCCTACAATTACTTAGTTGTTGCATAGAAAATACTTATATATTAGGCTCCTTTCAGAGGTTTAGGCTTTCTGAAAAGTTGTGCCAGGACTGGAAGTTTCCAGTCAAATTAATTTGCTCTCCAAAGGGAAATGGACTGAATCATGTCTCCAAAACTCTACTTCAAGTTTATTTTGTGCCTGTACAGTGGCGCATTTTTGAAAACTTGAGGTTAGCTGAACCAGTGTGTTTGTGCATGCTCAGTGCAAAATGCTTTGTATTTGTCTTTGTAGACAAGGAAGAGCATTGTGAGTAAAATATTTTCATTCTCACTTCTTCACAGGTCTAGAGATGATTTTGTGCAAAGTTTCCTCTTAAGAACTAGAATTCTAATCTAAGTGTGATTATTCCTTTTGCAGGCATGGATGAACTGATGGAAGTGTCTTTTTCACCCTTGGCTGCCACAGGCAAACCCCTTTCCCGCTGTGGTAAATGCCATCGATTCATGAAGTACATTCAGGTCAGTTTAGCTCATACTTGGAACTGGAAGTTCACTTGCTGGGGGCACTGAGTATCAACTTCTTTTCTACTATTGAACTTCAGTTCAAATGTGGTCATCACAAGTTCCTTTCTAAAACAAAAAGGCTGATAGGGTTTGCCTTGGGGGACAAACCAGAGAGCAGCTCCAGCTGGGTTTACCACAAGTTTGAAGCTCTGCTGACGCTGCAGTTGCTCAGGAGATTTGTGTTCTGTCTCCAGGCCAAGCCGAGCCGCCTGCACTGCTCTCACTGTGATGACACCTACAGCCTCCCCCAGAATGGTACCATTAAACTCTACAAGGAGCTGCGTTGTCCCCTGGATGACTTTGAGCTGGTGCTGTGGTCATCTGGATCCAGAGGAAAGAGCTATCCACTGTGTCCATACTGTTACAACCATCCTCCCTTCAGGGACATGAAGAAAGGTAGGAGCTGTGCAAACGTGTAGGTATCATCCTCACTTGAAATAAATTAGGTACAGTCTATGCAATGGGCTTTTTAGGAGTTTTAAAATCAGTGTTGCTTAGTATAAAGTGCTGTTCAAATTAGGCTCTGGATACCTAAAATTCATGTTAAACTTACTGACCAAAATGTATTAGTTAACAAATTTTTGAAGTTGTTTTTTTTTTTTTATTTGAAAAAGTAAGAAAATAATTTACCTGCATGCACTGTGGGTGACCTTCACAACACTCAGCATACAGTGAAAGACACCAAGATACTGATGCCTTGCAAATTTGAGTAGGCTTGGATAGGAGTATAAACAAAGACCAGGTCTTGGGAATGTTCTGATAGAGATAAATGGTGTGTTAAAAGCTGTTAAAGGATATAAAAAGAGGTAGACTTTGCAGTTAGTTTAGTGACTGTGGGACTGAGACTTAAAGTAGTGCACTGAAGCTTTTCAGCATCTTTTTATTACCATCTTTTAATTAAAAATATCTTGGACCAACAGTGAGTAGTTCAAGTATAAAATAACAGTTAGGCAGGAGCCATACATTTAATTGAAAATGTAATGAGTTTTCATCACTAATCTGTCTAAACTGCCTGTAGTGTACAGTGGCAGTATATGGCAATTCTGAAAACCATTATAGGAAAATTTTTCAGCAGGGGATTATTCTGAAACTGTGAAGAGGCAAGTTGCCATTTTGGGAGCAGTTCCAGTCTTCAGTGATTTAGAAAATGTACAGTATACTCAAGTGTCTGTGGCTTCTGTGTCTCACTTCCTTCAGACTGGGTAGTGAGCTAAAGGGTGGTGTGGTTTCACTCTTCTTCCCCAGGAATGGGCTGTAATGAGTGCACCCACCCCACGTGCCAGCACTCCCTTAGCATGCTTGGAATTGGGCAGTGTGTGGAGTGTGAGAACGGGGTTCTGGTGCTGGACTCGACCTCGGGCCCCAAGTGGAAGATGGCCTGCAACAAATGCAACGTGGTCGTGCACTTCTTCGAGAACGCCCACAAGGTGCGGGTGTCGCCCGAGACGTGCGACTTGTGCGAGGCGGCGCTCGTGGACGTGGATTTTAACAAAGCCAAATCCCCCCTACCTGGAGATGAGACCCAGCACTCAGGCTGTGTGTTCTGTGACCCCGTGTTTCAGGACCTGGTGGAGCTGAAACACGCGGCCATGAGGCACCCCATGCACCGTGGGGGACAGGGGAAGCGGCAGGGGCGGGGAAGGGGCAAAGGCCGGAGACCTGGAGGAAGGCTCAACCCAAAGAAACCCAAGGACAAAATGGCAGCTCTGGCTGCTTACTTTGTATAATGGCTACACAGCAGGAAAATAAACTTCTTATAAAAATGTGTTTCTCTTTGAGTTCTTTTTTAAGGATCTTTGATGTTTCACTGCTTTCCTGTTCTTAGAACAGTTAACACCTTAGGTTGCTCCCAAAACAAACTATTCTGGATGATCTGTCAGTAACTGAGTAAGCCTTTAAGCTTTTAATTGGGATTCATTGATACAATTAGAGCTCACAAACAATAGGGAGACTCAAGAAGTCTGCTTGGACTGTTAACTGTGGCTAATAGAAAGGAAATGGAATTTGTCTCTTCTGACATTTCTGGGGCCTTTGTCAGCAATGCAAGTGCCAGGAATATAAGAACTGATTAAGATCAGTGTTATGCTGGCATAGTCTTTAAGTGTGGCATGAGACTTGCTTCATCTGACTTTGAATCTTCAGAAATAATAAATGATTAGTAGCTGTCAGATTTTTAAATTACATATGCAATAGCAAGAGCACTGCTTTAAGTCTGTCATTGTGCTGCATAAGTGAATAATGCCAACAGACATACAAAATGGAAATTATAAATGTGAAGGGGAATATGTGCCTTGAGCAGTGATTCCCAAATTATGGCCTGCACAGACAAGTAAGTATCTCACAGTTAATGGGGCCCAGTGAAATGAGACCTTCTCCTGCTGGAAGACAGATTGAGTATCCATGCTGGTTTATTTCTCAGTGGTCACACAGCAGATCATGTCTGACAAAGTACAGTTTGTTCTGTCTGTTCCTAGCATTGTCATTTCGGTGTTGGTTAGTTTTGGTGTCAAAAGGAGGGTGTCCTCATGCTTTGGTGTGGAGCTGTATCTAACCACTGCAGCACTGGGTGCTACATTGCAAAATCTCATTGTACAAACATATAATACTCTCTCCTTTCCTTCCATGGGCTCATGGCTGAGCATGTCTGGTCATCTGGTCAAGTACAGTTTGTGTCACCAGTTTCAGCACTAGTTATGTTCAGATGGGAGGAGTAAAGGCTGCTGAATTTCAGCTCAGAATGTGCAGAGAGTGACCTGACATGGGATGCATTGGCAACAGAGAGGAAAAACAAGTCCCTACAAAGGTAATTTATAACTCTGCTGTTTTAGTTGGCAAAGTGTGTTCATTTACTGAACCAGAGAACACAGCCCAAATACCACAGCACCGGGCCTGTTCCTCTGATCAAATGTTTGTTTATACACTTACAGCTCAAACATGAACTGTGTTTTACAGTACTGCTTAGAAGATCTAGCCATAGGTAGAAGTTTCTTTTTCTGTAGTTATTTTTAGTTCTATCTGGTAAAAGCAGGCTGAAGCAAATAGCTTATTTTCATGGGAACTATGCCATTGTTTTAAAAATCAAGTTGATGTGGTGCCTTGGAGTCATAGGTCTTGGCATAAACTACAACAGCTTCCAGGGTGCTTGTACTGATTCAGTTGTTCAAGTCCTCTCTTAGCTGTAGCCTGGTTTGTGCACCAGGAGCTGCTCTGAACACTCCTGTGTGCCCAGCTGGCTGCTGCTGCTGGCTGGGATTCCTGTAATGCCTGGAAATGATCCTGGAACTGTGGGAAACCTGGCATTGGTCATTCTCCTTGGCATCCCAGCTGGGTGGGAATGCTTTCCTCTTCCTCCAAGCATGGCTTTTACTTTGGTTATTTGCAGATGAACTTTTGCTTGTAAAATTTCTTTGCACCCTTCCCATTTGTGTTTATCTCCACGTATGATTTGCCAGGGTGTGTAATTCTTCATAATCTAATGTAGAGTAAGTATTTTAGGATAGAAAACCCACTCACCTAGGTCAGTACTCACCTTGAGTACTGTGTGCAGTTTTGGGCACCACAATGTAAAAAATACATTAAGCTATTAGAAAGCATGCAAAGGAGAGCCACGAGGATGGGGAAGGGTCTGGAGAGGACGCCATAGGAGGGATGGACAGTGCTGTCAGGCACATGGTGAGATTTTTGGGGTGATCCTGATGGTCCCTTCCAACTGAAGTTATTCTAGGATTCCATTAGTGCTGAGCGCGGGGAGAGCTCAGTGAGGAGGAACTCTGGGAAACATCTTCGTGCTCCTTTCTGCTGCTTTTAGCCCTTCTCTGGG